TCCTTCAAAATCTCAAAAACCACTCTCTCTCTCTCTCTCTCTCTCTCTCTCTCTCTCTCTCTCGATCACACCGAGAAAACCAAACTCCTCCTCCGCCTCTCTCTCCGTCGCCTTCTCCGGCAACTTCATCCTCCAAGCGAAGCAGCCCCTCCAATCAAGGGTTCCATCTTCAGCTCCATCTATTCAACCTGTGCAGGAATCGAGCAATTAGGTTGTGATCAAGCTCTTACAGGTACGCAATCTAGGCTTTCAATTCGTCTCTCAGTGCTTTGCGTTCCTCCTCGTTGGTTTCTCTCTCTCGATTTCCTCTGTATTAGCTTTTTATTTTTATGTAAGTTTTGATCCTACCGAAACTGCTATGCAAATTAGGGTTTTCACCTTAGGAGTAGCCATAGATTCCCAAGGAGGACCTCAAAGAAGGACTTCTTTCTGTTTGAGGAACTGTTAATAAGATTTAGAATGGTAAACACCACACGAATCTCAAGTTCTAAGTATTAATCCTTCTGTCCACACAAAGAGAGGCTTCGAAATGGCCAGGACAAACTTACAAGTAAAGGTCTTCATTTTCTGAATTTTCTCTATCTCGCGGTTTGAAATAATGAAAATTCCGTTAATGTAATAATCCTGGAAGCAGTAAAAGCTTCAACAAATAGACTGGCATTGTGATTGTGGGGTTTGGATACCTAATATGTATGTTTTGGGTGGGTGGAGGGGGGGACCCGGAACAGAGGAAAACGCCCCCATGTCATCCCAGTATCTAATACTCTAACCATTCTCGGAGCTTTAAACAACAGGAGGAAGGAAAGAAGCATATTGCTAGTGCTGTGTGATAATTTCCCCAACGCCGAGCTTTATGTGTCTCTCATTTATTGTAATTCATCTGTTCAATTTTGTTTTTCAAAATGCCTTACATTTTTTTATTAAAACATGAAGTTTATTATTACTTGTAGGATGTGCTAGGATAGAGATATATGATTCTGTTTAGAACGGGACATGGGAATAATGGAGTGAGGGCAGGCAGTTCTAGGACTTTGAGGATGTGTTTGGAATGGGAGGTGGTAAGGGGTAACCGGGTAATTTCCTCCCAGAACATGGTGTTTCCCATTGTGCCAGACCTTTTTGTTCTTTACGTTTCACTTTTTACACTACAAATTTTTCTATTGTTTATTTGTTTATTTTAATACGTATGTAAAGAACCTTGAGGTCACCACCCCAAAAGCTAGCTCAAAGGGTGGGAGTGTCCAAGGTCTTATAAACTCCACATTAGTTGCTCTTCAACCAATGTGGGACTATATATCTCAACACGCCCCCTCACGCAAGAGCCCTCTTGGCTTGAAGCGTGGATTATGCAACAGGCCCAATCTTTGGTTTACCTCTTTGTGCTTCCACTTTAAAGTGGGGGACGGTGAGGATCGAACCTCAAGCTCTGATACCATGTAAAGAACCTTGAGATACACCACCCCAAAATCTAGCTCAAAGGGTGGGAGTGCCCAAGGCCTTATAAACTCCACATTAGTTGCTCTTCAACCAATGTGGGACTATATATCTCAACATTATTTGAGATAGGTTTGTGCATAAAAGGTGGATATTAATTTGATTAAATTAGCAATATGCATTATTTGAGTTCTGTACATATTAAATGAAACATAATTTTACTGTAATAGCCAAAAAAATTATCTCTATTGCAGTATTATTTAGAAATAGGTTTGTGCATTGATAATCCACTATTTTGGAAATTTGCATTTTACATCACTTCCAATTCGTGTATTCTTGGACTTAGCTTTTCAAAATAGTAATACTATAAAATTAATAAGAAAAAGGAAAAAAGGAAAAGAAAGTGCGGGGTAAACTCTACTACACCAGATAACTTCTTATTTATTTGTCTGTTACTGTTTTATAATGCTTTCTCTCTCTTAGTGCACCTCTCTTTGAAATCTCGAAAGCCTCTATCCCGATAGCTCAGAGAGAAAGAAAAACTTCCGTTCCCACCCTTCTGCAGTGCCTCTCCTCCATCTCACTCTCTGTCAATGCCATTCGTGCTGCCATTGTCTTCTGTGTCCAATTTATCCTTGATGCGAAGTATTCCCATAATCATTCCAATCCCCTACTAGAAGAGCTTGCATTTTTAGCTCATCTGTTCAACCTTTTCTGGATTTAAGCAATTAGATTGTGATCAAACTCGTAGGTTGGTAATTTATTGTTTAATTTGTATCTCAGTGCTTTGCATTACTCACCATTGGATTTGCTCTCGTCTTGAATACTCTGTTTTAGTTATTTATTTATATTATAATTCAGGAGTTTGGTCCTATTATAACTGCTATACGAATAAGGCTTTTCACCTTAGGAGTGATAGACTCCCAAAGAGGACCTGAAAGAAGGATTTCTTTCAGTTTGAGGAACCATATATAAGATTTACAATAGTTAACACCTTAAGATTCTAAAGTTATTAATCTTAATCCTTCTGTCCACACATAGAGAGGCTTCGATATGGTCAATAACACAAGTAAGGGCCTTCTGTTTTAAATTTTCTCTATCATCAAGGGTAATAAATGAAAATTTCAGTAAATGTTATAATCCCACATTCAATAAATGCGACAATTAGGGTGGCAATGTAGGGAGGATACCTAACATGAATGGGGACCCAAAACAGGGAAAAGATCCTCTCCATTCTGCAATTCTTCCTAGAAACTAATGCCCATATTGAATGTTGCCTCTTTTGAGCCGTTTAACCTAGTTGCTAGTTGTTACATTTTAAAGACAGTGTTGTCTTATCTAAGGCAGTCCTGGTGGCTGCAATGGTAAAATGGAATAGTGGATTTGAGCTTCCCCGCCAGAAAAGAACTCCAGCTGTGGAGGATTGTTCGTGGTGGTGCTGCAGCACCATGGTACTGCCATGCTTGCTATAAGCATAGCAGATGGAAGCTCCCATACTGATATGCCAGGCACAGAAGAGAAATTGCCCATCTGTCTTCCTTTCGAATCAATGGGCTTGTGATTTTTTGACTTTGCCTCATGCTGAAAACAGATTAATTCCACCAAAACTAATCTTATTTCATCTCACCTCTCACAGACATATATGCAACAGCACATGGTTTCCAGTGCCGCATCACTTTAACTTAACTGAAAGCAGCCACAGATGCAGATGAAATTAGCCTCTTGCTACTTTATTCCAACACTTCACTATAATCTTGCATCTTTCTTCAGTTTTTTCCCTCCTCTTTGATACTCTGTTGTTGGCGCCTGCCCTTTTTTCCCCCCTTATGTTCTGCTGCTGCTATTTGTTATATAAGGGAGATGTATTCTGTGTTAACATCCAATACGCTGTGACATGTTTTAGTACTTTTATATTTTAGACTTTAGTTTGTGACACTTTGTGTTGTCATCTCGCCCTTTATGATGAGTTAATTTGCTTGAAAAGTTTATTATTATGTTCATTGTCTTGATATAAACTATAAGGTCTTTTTATTTAATTTCTAAAATGTGTTTATTAAATTTTACATCATTTTAGTGATGTACCTTGCTTCAACATGGTTATCCACCATAAATCTAAGGCAGGTTTTTGGCTTGCAGCCATTGGCTGCCAAATGCCATTGACAACTGTTTTTAAAGAATCCTTACATTAACAATGACAGTGCTTCTTCTGTTATGTTCTTTTAGTAAATCAGCTTGATTTCATAACTTTCTGTTTTTTGGGATTATTGTCATATGAATATAGGTTAATTCTTTCTTTCGCCATCTTTTATAGAATGTAACCTTGTAATTGATTTCTAATTATTCTAGATTAGAGGAGCAGGGGCTGTAAGTGAGGATGAGTTTGCAACAAGCTGGGCAGCCTAAATCATCTAATGGATATGGCCGTCGAAAATCTGAAAGAGAAGGAGCAATTAAGTCAGAGAATAAGATCCCATCTGGAAAATTAAATGCCAGCAGATTGGCAAGTACAGGTGAACTACTATGCTGAATATTTTACTATTTTATTTGTCGTAGTATTCACTTTGCTTATATTTCTTGTTAGTTTTTACAGGTGCTGTGATTGGAAGTAAAGGTGGTACTTATGAGAGTCCTTCACATGATCGACTAGTATATGTGACAACATGTCTTATTGGGCACCAGGTGGAAGTCCAGGTGAAAAATGGATCTATATACTCTGGAATATTTCATGCAACAAATGCTGACAAAGATTTTGGTATGTTCTGATATTTTCTTTTTATTGATTTTGGTGATATTGAAGACTATTTCTTTGTATTATTGCGCAGCTAACTTATACAGAATGGATAAGCATGTTCTTTAGGATAGTTATTTTATTTTAGGAATATTTTTTCTTATTTCCTATTTTTGTCAATTTTGGTATTTATCTTATTTTAATAAGCTTTTTTATTTTAGAAGTTCTTGTTTAATTATGATTTGACTAGGGTTGTTCTACATCACTATCTGAATAGATTGCTGCTTCTTGTTTTCTCATTAATAGTTTTGTAGGTCAGAGAATTTCATTTTGTTTGGTTCTTACATCATCATTACTATTATTCTAGGAATCATTTTGAAAATGGCTCGCTTGACAAAGGATGGTTCTTTAAGAGGGCAGAAGTCTGCTGCAGAATTTGTCAGCAAGGCTCCTTCAAAGATTTTAATTATACCTGCCAAAGAACTTGTACAAGTCATAGCACAGGTTGTTACTTTTCAAGTATTTGCAGCGTACTTGGGAAATTGTGGTTGTTGCTTTAGCTAAAAACCTGCAATCTAATGAGTTTTTATTAGGATGCTGTATAATGACCAATGATATTGGAAAATTTTGTCTAGGGTTAGGTGTAGTTGCTTTAAACACATTGCCAACTTGTTTCCTGATGATATTTTTGGTGTGTCATTCGTGGCAGGGTGTTGCTGTTACTAGGGATGGTCTACCTAGTGAATCTCATCATGATATGCATCAGGAAATCATGGTTGATTCATCGATATCTCAATCTCGTCATGTTGAGCTAGGGAGAGAATTAAAACCCTGGGTACCTGATGAAGATGATCCACAATGCCCTGAACTGGAAAATATCTTTGATGGCCATTGGAATAGGTTTTTTCCCTTAATAAAATAAATTTTATGAACAGTAGAAATTATCTCTTTTCTTGATTCTTGATACTTTGACACCTATATGCATTCTCGTCGATTGCCTCTATTCTCCTTAACTTAGAAGATCAATAAACTATATTAGGTAGCTTTTCTAGTCTACAATAGGAAGTTTCTTAAAAATAAGAGTCCAGCTTTAAGTGGTAGATTTCCACTTTTTTAATTAAAAATATTTCTCCTCCATTGTTATAATTAACACTTGCTATTCAGTTTTTAGGAAAATTTAAAACTGGTGACCAAGAAATAATACCCCTTTTCTAGATACTGTGTTTGTGTAATATTTTCTATAATTCATTTCTTTCTTTTTTTTAATCTTTCTTCAACCAACCAGTTTCATCTACTTTCTAAGCATGTGTTTTCCAATCTTTTTGATGACATTTGGAACTATATTTCTTGTTAGGGATCATTCAACTTGTTATGATTCTCTAAACCATTTGTTTTGGACCATATTTTAGTAAAGTTCTTTCTGAGGATGTAGAGGCATTCTATTTGTTTTCTTGTATTGCCTCAAATATATTTCGGGCTGTAGGTCCATAACCATTTAGCCTGAGGAAATTTCGAAAGGACATTGGCATGCAATTTGGCTATGAATTAATTCTCGATATAACCAAGGGAAACAGAAGATTGTTGTGGTATATCCTTAATTATTAAGAGAGGTTTTATTGATTATATGAAATTGTTACAGCAGTTCTATCATTATTTAATATACATGTTTTTCCATGTGTTTCCTTTTTCTTATTTCAATTTCTTCACAACATCTCCATTTTGGTTTACATTGGCAATTTTCTTCCCTTTTCTTCTGTATTTATTTTAAGGGGATGGGATCAGTTTGAAACAAATGAGACATTGTTTGGTGTGAAAAGCACATTCAATGAGGAACTCTATACAACAAAGCTTGAAAAAGGGCCTCATACAAGAGAATTGGAAAAGAAAGCTTTAAGAATGGCAATAGAAATTGAGGGTGAGGAAACCCAAGATCTTCATCGTGCAGAGGTTAGTGTGGCTTCATTTCAATACTTGTTCTTGTTTTTCTTTGCTATTTGTGAGTTTCTGTACTTTTTGATTTAATGGTCTATTTGAATTCCTCAAACTATTTGATTTTTCTGAACAGGAAAGAGGCCTTCACTTAAATGAAGATTTTGAGATTGATGAAGAAACTAGATTCTCTTCAGTCTATAGGGGTAAAGATGTTGATGATAGTGGATATGACGAAAATGAGGACATACTGTTGGACTCACACAATTCTGAAACTTTTGATGGTATATTTGGTTCGGTCATTAAGAGGCCTGGTGAAATAAGTTGTGGAAAAGGCAATGATGGAGCTCAAACATTGGCAAGTTCCTCCTCCGTGGTATCTCCTCAATCCATTATTTAGTTACTAAATGGGTGGTGGCATTTAGTAATTCTCAAGCATATGTCACAATGGTGGACACTGGCTTGTCCTTTCTTGTTATTGAATACTACCATATTGTGTTTTTGCATACCTGATTTTAGTAAATTTGTTTTAGATTTAATTGCATTTGGAGAATCTTTGGTTATGTAATGACAATGGTTTGTTGTCTCATGCTGTGCTTCTATATTGTGGTTCTGTATTTTAAAATTATTAGTAGTCCGATTGAGTGTTAATAGTCCCAGTGGGACAAAAGATTTACTAGTTTTTCAGGAGTTACATTGATATTACTGGATAACTGATGCTATATAACTATATAGTGCTATGTATATTGGTATTTCATCCCGGGGGTGGGGTGTTGAATTTAATGATACCCACTAATATTTTGACACATCATTATTTATTACTTTTGTTTTTAATAATTGGAGTATGAGATGATAATAAATAATGATGAGTCTAAATATTATTGAAAGTCAGTGTAAAACTCCTTCACATAGACAGTACGTACCAATTAAACTATTTTTTTTATTAGTCTGGAAACTTTAAATATGGGTGAAATAAACTAATTTGGGGAGAGACAAATCATGTCTAATTTTCTAATTGTTGACATTAAAAACTACCGGATTTGTAAAATATCCTTTAGAAAATATTAAAAATTTAGGCACATAACTGCTATTTTTTATGAGTTGTGATGTGTTCAAGACTAAATTCTGTTTGAGAGTGTGCTGAATATTCTTAGTTATCATGCTTTTGAAATTAATACAGCATTAACATCCAACAAAACTAAGACCTGTAGATTGCTTTGTCCGGAAAAATGTTGATATCAAAGTTCTTTTTCTAAGTTTTATGCCTTCTTCCTTTCTCTTTTTTATTTTCCATGCTTTCTTCTTCTCTTACGAAGTAATTATTACACTTCCTAAATTCAGTGTAATACTTCATTTTAATTGTGTGTGCAGGATCACCCACAGTCGTCTCAGTCAAGTACTGGTGTGGATTTAAGCCGCTCTGGTTCCTATGATCATGCTAAGCAGTTAGCATCTGACCTCCCTGCTAAAAGCTACTCATCTTTGGATGGGGAAAACAGGTGTTTGTTGCCTTTTTCTCTCTTGTATATAATTACTTGTCTCCACTGTAATGATTTGTATTTTTCCCCCAAAGATGTCATTTCCAAACTTAAAAATCATAAATATCAGCTTTATTGTGAATTTTCATATCCAACAACCTTACAGGATTCAGGAGAACTCGGTTAGTAATCTTCATGGAGCAAATGGTAGTACTAAGGAAGAAAATCAGATAGTGAGTTGAAGTTTCAGCATTACTACTCAAACTTGTGTCTACATAAATATATCGTTAGTTTGCTATTAATTCTAACACTTCCAAATCTCATTATTTATTTTCTTCTTTAATTATGCAGCAAGCTGAGGATGTTCAACTGTCAAAATCTGAGGGTTTGTGAATATTTTTTCTTAGCCTCCTTTGTTTTGAGCAGATCTAATGTGTTTTGCCTGAAATGACGAGGAGGAAATTAAACATTCTCATATAAGTGATTATTTTTTTTATTCTAAAGGAAGTGCAGATGCTTTCTGTTAGTACTCAATAGTGCTTCTGAATGGGCATCTCTCACACGCGTTTGAAACTTTAGTGGCTGCTTCTTTGATCACATGTATTCCTCTGATCTTAGCAAATTTTAGTGCAGATTCACTGGCATCACTCTACTTGAAGAAAGATGGCTCTGATAAAGGGATATTATCTCCTAATGCCAACTCCTATTCCCCTTCATCTCATATTTTATCAAAAACTCACGAGAAGACGGGATTACCTGGGGATTTGTCTGAGGGTTCAGCATCTGGCAAAGTTAATGGGGAAACAAAGTCTGTAAATTCACGTAGGACATCATCCGGTTTAGATACTGTGGGAGGTGTGGCAGCATCTTCTGGTCCTGGTTTATCTCCTAGTTCATCAGTTGGTTCATTTTCTTCTGATAGATCGACATTGAATCCCAATGCCAAGGTGTGAAAGTTCAAGATTGATTTTAAAAAAAAAGTAATATATCATTAGATGATTCTGGTCTTTTATATTACTGACATATGTCTCTGAGTTTCCCCTTTTTTTCCCTTTCATGTTATAAGGAATTCAAGCCTAACCCTAATGCGAAGAGTTTTATTCCGTCTCCTGCTCGACCCCCCACTCCTGTGTCTGATGGTTCCTTCTATTTTCCAACTAACGTAACTACTATGCCAAATATGCCAGGCATGCCCATGAGTATCGGAGTAAGTCATTCATAGCATTTATTGAATATATAGAATAGAATTGTATAGTTATGGGGTGGACTTACTTCCTTAAGGCTTACTGCAAAATTTTACTTGCATCATTAGACTAAAGCATTATGATTGAGTGCCAAATTGACCTAGTCACTCCACAATCTCTACTGTCCTGACATATCCATGTTGTGCAGATTATGAAAACTACCAATATTGGTTGTGTAATCTTATGGTGTTTAAAATTTGTTGTAAACTTATGATAGCTACTTAATTTATATAAAGATACATGCCCCATTGTGCAGATAGGGGACATTAATTTTGATATTTCGGGGATGTGCTTCATAGAACTATGGTTAAATAGTTTGCAAATGAGACTATGCTGAATTATTGGGTTCGGCTTAATAATCTCTTTTCTGCCTTGGTTCTGTTTACAAACTTGATTATTTTGCATATGGCTTGCAGATTGGACCTCCATTTTCTGTGCCACAACCTATCATATATAATCCACAGGTAGCACAAATGCCATCTCAAGGATATTATCCAAATGCGCCCCAGGTATAGTGTAACTTCTTGTATCTCACTGGTGACTGTTACGTGAATATTGGTGCTTTACGGTAATTGCATAATATCTTATTGCAGTATGGACAGCTTCTTGGTCATCCTAGGCAAGCTTTATACATGCCGAATTACCTACCTGTAAGGACTCCCATATTTTGCTCATAATTTTATCTATCTATTATATATATATATGCAACATAAGAGTAGTTTTATCTCCTACACATCCATCGAAAACTGTGACATTCCTTTTTTTTTTTTTTTTTCTTTAAATGGCGGATCCCACCATATGTATCTCTACAACATGAGAGAAGATCTCTTATGTAACATAAGATTAAATGAACCCTATATATATATATATAGAGAGAGAGAGAAATTATACTCTTATGTTACATAAGATTCATCTCTCATGTTACACTCACATAAAAAGACGTGCCTCCCTCTGTTGTCTAGTAAGATAAATGATGAAATCAGTTATCTCAATAACAATACATGCTTTAAGCTCCACCTTAATGTATCATGCATGTTGTACATTCTTCCATGTTAGGATGGTGGAACATGACTCTCTTCATTTAGGCTCCTCAACTGAATTTGAACAAACTTAGCTGTAGTGTAGGTCATTATATACTTTGGGGGAACTTTATGCACATAATGTTGTGGGAACTCAATCTTCTCAAATGGGTATTTTACAGGAAATGCCATATAAGGGGCGGGATTATTGACGAATTGGCTGACTCGTGCATTCTTGGCAAGTCAACTGCTTGCTTGAAAAGAATAAATTAAGTGGATGTCTTAAGAAGTTTTAAATGACGATATCTGCAGCTCAGCTGATGGGAAGGTTCCATAGATTCATATATACTCCAGGCAAGCTGGCTCAATTTGGGATATGATTTTATGACCTTGTATTAACCCATACATCTTTTGGGGTTTCTCAGGTTTTGTTCGTGTAATAGCTTATAACTCAGATAGACCCCCTTTTTCCCCTCCTCTATGCTATGCAAAAATTACTTTTAAATTATTTTAATGATTTTATTATTTGATAAGTTGTAGTTAAGTCATTGGATTGGTTTAGAATCACGGCATCCTTCGGCGGGAGCTGACTCAGCTGAGTCAGTGGGTAGTGAGTACCATGTAAGCGTGATAATGACGGGTAAACAAATTAGCTGAAGATATTGACAGTCAAAGAATTTTTAAACCATTTTGTCAGAAGTATAGGAATTAAGTGTGAATGATTGAGTGAAAAAAAATCTTACATTGATTAAGAATGAATTAAGTAAGCATCATATAAGTGGAATGATCTTTATATTTAATATTTTAAGGTTTTGAGTTTGATTATAGTGTTCTAATTTTATTTAATATTATTGTTCATTTAGTTCATAGTTGGCGATATTTTTTTATCATGAGCTCCCCTGCACAACCCAACACTAATTAGGTCGAAGTGGAAGACTAGAGTTTCAAAGGGAGAAAGTGAACCGGTTTAAATTATGCAATGGTTAAAAATTTAATTTTGCAGCTTTTTGTTAACCTTCAGTACTGTGCAAGTACGCGAAAATTGAGTATTATTTGGGAAAATAACAGTGAGTGTTATCTTGGTTATGTGTTAAAAATAAATAAAGTGGAGAAAAAACATATGTCCTTTTAAATGATAATTTGTGTTATTTTACTCATAAAAAAGTGAGATTTACATCTTTATTTTTATTTTGTTTACTCTTTTTTTTTCTTCTTCATGATTTATCTCTTTCTCTTACTTAAAATGATATAATTTTATATTTTTTAAAATGATACGTACTTTTCTCATAAATTATTCATGAGACTTGATTGGTATTTTGACAGTAGATGAAATTGACGTGTGGTTGATCAAAGCGTAGTGTCCAAGAAAATAAAATTTAATTCCAGTAAATATCAAATTTGGTTCTTAATTTACCAGAAAAAAAATTGGTTTTACTTTGGTCTTTAAAAATTTGTTTATACGAAATGATCTTTGAAATTGTTATGTTGTTAATAAGTTTGTCTTATACAAATTGCTAATTTTATCTTATCGGAATTATTAATTTGTTAACAAGTTCATATCTTGAAAAATAAAGTTATTTTTAGAGAGAAATAACACGAGTAATATTTTCGGGAGAAAATTGTATAGTTATTTTACTAAATTTTATCTGTAGGCCATGTCATAGATTTGAAAATAAAATTGAGAAATTGATATTACAAAATTGTCAAATAGGATCTTTCATTTTTTTTTCTCATTAGGAATATGATTATTTTTAAATCTAAATTTGCTTTATGGATAGCGTCAAATTATTATACTATCAACAGATCATGTAATGTAAATACTACTTGGTTTTTTTAAAGGGTTTGTTGTTTGTCATTTTAAATGACATAAGTTATGTCATTTTAGGATAGAGATAGACACAGAAAAACGGAAATCATAAGAGAGAGAAAGTGAGTGATTTTTTTAATTTAAAATTTAAATTTTCCGTGTCTGTCTCTTTCCTAAAATGACATAACTTTCTGTCATTTAAAATGACAAACACTTTTCCCCTTTTTAAAACAACGAAACTTGTATTAAAGGTTAAAAAAAATGCTTTATTCTTACTTTGTTTAGCCCCGTACGTCTGAAATGTAAACCACTTGATATCCTAACGTAATAAACAAACAAAAAGTTAACTCAATGGAAACTGCATTCTAGTTATCACTTTCAGTGTGTCACCATTCACACCAATCTGTTGAATACGCTACTCACTTTTTAAATCACAAAATATAGTGCGGTGGAAAATATGTCATTTTCTTGAGTAATACTTACTACTTGAACATAATTAGGAATAGTACATTTTCACTCAGCCGCCATCATGACATGGAAGCCGTACGATGTCTGAGGTAAAAAGAAGTAAAATATTTTGGTGTCATGTGTAAGTGAAAAGGACAATCACCTTCCAGAAAATAGAATTTTAAAAAATGTTGTTTCCCAAATAAGGATAACAAAAAATAACCAAAAAAGCATTTCTTAAGTAGATGATATTATAGTATCATCGCAAAGCTTCATCGTAAAGCTTCGTAACTGCCCAAAAGTATTGTGTTATATATCAATATAGGACATAATGATTAGCTGCCAACTATTATGGGCCGTCATTCTTATTCTTTCTGAAGATGCCAAACTTCTATCCTCATTTCTGATAATCCCAATTTGTATATTAAGGGAGTGTTTAGTACCTATAGAATTATTTTTTATCTGAGAAATAATTATTATTGGAATGTAGGGAGAAATATATTTTACTAGAATATTACTAAAAAGTTGTTTGTTAGACTCAAATTTTCTCAAAAAAATGAAGTTAATTTTACTGAGTTTGTGTTTGGTTGGTTATGAAATATTAGTGGGAATGTGAAGTTATTTTACCAAAATAACCTCACTTTTACCTTTTCATTCAAAACATAGGATCATTTTAGTCTTCCCTTTCCCGCTTCGATTTTCACTTCTCCAGGCAGCTAAGAATTCCTTATTTTATTTGAAACTCTGATTTCGCTTTCTGTATCACAATTAACAAAGAAGATCATTTTCCTGGAATGAAATATAACCCAGAAAATTTTCAGGAAGTCAGATACCAAACGTGATGGTGACCATATTTGTCCGTTTCAGCTTTCCTATGATTTCTCAAAAAAGTCGCGTACCAAACGCACCCTACTTATATTTAAATTTTGCGTTTGTGTTTGGTAAGGTGTGTTTGTCAAATATTACTAATGTTGCATAAAGGGTTGTCCTATGCATTAACCTTTTTGAGCCTCATTGTTTATTTCTCTTCGGTGAAGTTGTATGAAGATGAAACCATAAACTAAAATGGATATTAAAGTTTGGCCTGGCAAAGCCGGAGGCTGCATATTATTCTTTATTATCTAGATCGAGATGATGAATTACATATATATAACACCTCTACATAACTTTAAATTAATAAAAATTCTGTCATTTTTCTAACACAAATTTATTATAATAAATTATATCTTTGACTTTTTCAAACATAAATTATAATAAATTATTCAAACACAAATGTTATATTAATGTATCATCCTCTACATGGGAAACAACCGTTATCCCTAACTACAGTCATTCTCCGAATCCTTAAACAAAACAGCAAGGAAGTGTTTGTTGGGAGCTTTTCAGTAGATATCTATGTTTTTCAAATATGGCTTTTAGAAACATCATGTTTGTTTCAACGTATTTTCACCAAAAAACTATCTATCCAATTTGTATGGATTTATGAGAAACATAGATATCCGCACTGTTTAGAAACCCAATTTGAAGGTGAGATTTTTCAGAAAACCGATTATCTGACTATCAATGCACTGTTACCTAATTTTCTCAGTAAAGTTTTTCCCCACCAAACAACTTTTTTTTAACATTTTTTACCTATCTCACTTTATCTATCTTTTCAATCATTTCTCTATCTATTACATTTCTCTACTATTCCAAAAAAATTTCCTCAACCAAACACCCTCTACCATTGTTTTGAATATTTCCCAACAAAAATGTTTAGCGATAACTACAGAATTATAAAAATTCTTCAGCGGCTAAGGCTAATTGAATTTTTAAGTTAAAAAAAATGATATTTGTATTTATTTTAAAATATATATTTTATGTCAAAAATAATAAAATCTCTAATTAAACTTTTTAATTTAAAAATGGAAAAAAAAATCTGTAATACCCACTTGCTTTAGTTTAATAATCCGCTCGTTACTTAATAAAAATATGTTATTAATAAGAAAATTATCATTACACACTTTTTAATTAAACGAAAATAATTTAAATTGTAAAGTAATAAATAAAATAAAATTCTCTTTCTTTATTAAATTTTTTATCGAAACTATCTTCATTTTGTTTCTCTATTATATTTTTTTTGTCAATCATTAATTATTATTATTATTATTATTATTATTTGGGAGATATTCTCGTTAGTTTATCGCTTCACGACTAGTTCGATCCAAGACGCGTATCAGAATTAAGATTTTAAACTCCTCTTAAATTACATTATTCTTTTTAATCATTAAATAACATAACAATCCATAAAATTATATTTGTTCAGACAGTGGGTTTTGGTCCAATTTGAACCACATAAAATACTAAAATTCTAAAACTAGAATATTTTCCAATAACGTATATAAAAAAAAATGTATTGCATGTTAGTAAGTAGTAACCTAATATATGCTTTTTTTTTCTTTTCTTTTTCTTTAGGTGAAAATCTAATATATGATAAATTCATGTAAATTATTTAAATCCGTCATCATTTTTGGATAAAATTAAATACATAACCTAATACAACATACTCAAACCTTTCACTACTAAATCAAATCCGCCATCATTAGATCATTTATAATGACTTCATAACATTAATAGATAGATATGATAAATGTTAAAAATTACAAGATACGCTATAGTTAAAATATAACATATAAATTTAATATAAGATTTACATAAAAAAAAAAATTTTAAATTTACATAAAAACGTCAATATTTTATGAGTCAACTTGAATTAGTATAAATATAAGCAAATATTATTATTTATCTAATTATTATATGTATCTCATTTATATTGTTATAGAGTTCAAAAAAAAAAAAGGTTAAAAATTATACAAAATATCTAATTCAGTGTATATCAAATCCTAATGCCATAACAATTTTGAAATACCATTATTTATATTTATATCCTATCCTTGAATATTTTTTTTTTGAAATAAAAGGAAAGAAGAAGAATGGAAAAGTTATAGATGTCAAAATGATTCGACACGACATGAATATATGTAATATAAATATGACATAAATTTTTATTTATATCAAAATCTTTAAACAAACACCATATGATTTTTTGTGAATTAATACGATACGACATGAATAACATATAAATTATGGATCAAAATGATAATTAATAAAAAAATTTAAAACAATGGGACGAAACTTAAAAAAAAAATTAAAAAATATACTAAAAAAATAAAAAATAGTAATAAAAAAATACACGTCGATACAAATTTGATACAACACAACAACCAACGCGACATAAATTTTTTAAGGAGGGACATTTTTGTTCAACAAAAATATAATACAAATTTTTTTTTTTTGGATCAAATCGAACATTAATTTTCACATGTGTCGTGGATCAACATGTGTGTCATATAACACCCAGGAAAAGTACACAAACGCTGTTTAGCAAACACAGAAGCCATAAGACACGAGTACGAAACATGAGAGAATGCGATTCTCAATTACTAAAAGACCAAACAGGAAAGAATAACAATAGTACAGCAAAACGACAAAAACGAAATGAGTCATAGAATTTTTTTTTTTTTTAATATAAGAGAATATTTAAAAAAATAGATTCTTAATTTTTTTAATATTATTTTTGTCTTTAATATATAATATAATGGAGGATTGAGAAAGGTGGGAGGGTGGATGGTGAGTGTAGTTGGTGTGTTAATGCAGCACAGTTCATTGTTTATACTTTAAATGACTTACTATAAAGAAAAGGTCAACACTTAGCACTGAAGCCAATATATCCAATCCAATGCAAAACCAAAAACACTTGAAAAATAATTATGGACTCTTTGGAGTGTGATGTGTGAGTGACTCACAGTTTCTTCAAAGCTTGGAACTTGAAACTTTCAAGACACAATACATGCACAGCTTCTTCTTCTAGCAATACCCCTTTTCTAATTCCTCTTCAATTCACCGAATTCCCAAAGGTCTCTCTCTCTCTCTCTCTCTTCTTTGGAGCTTCTTTTTCTCTGTTTTGATCCACCACCATCTTTTCTTCTTCCTTTGTTTTTTCATTTTTCTTAACTCTTTTTTTGTTTTTTAAAACCTTGAATTTGATGACATGCCTGTGAATCTATAGAAGGGTAGCATTTGGAGCTTAAGATGATGGAACTGATCTTAGATAGATAGTGGGTTTTCTTATTTTGCTTAAGACTTTTCTACGTGTTGATGGTTTATACGTTATTGTTATTTTTAGCAACGATTTTTTTTCCTGTGTATATTCTGGGAATTAACCATTTATAGAAAGCTTTCTGGTTCAGGCATGAAAAGCGCTTAAACTTGAAGGAGAAATTCCTTTTCGTTTATTTTTCTTAACTTTTAATGTCCCCATATGATTTTTTTGTTTTGTTTTGATTTTTGTTTTAATGAACGGTCCACATGCATTCTACTCTATATTCTGTTGTGTTTTTTGTTTATGTACCCCAAAAAATTGTCTTTCGTTTACTTGCTTTTTTCTTAAGGTTATATATAAGCTTGTAATTGATTCCTAAAAGCTATATTTTTTAGAGATATATTGATCTGCCTCTTCTTCTCAAATGAAGTCCGAATTCCATGCACCAATTAGGGAAGTCCAAGGAAAAGGGAAACACAATTTTTTTTAAAAAAAAAAAAAAAAAAGGAATTTTGCAGAATTTAAGTTTCCTGTTGAAAAATTTCCTTGTCTGAGCTTCAGCTTAATCGTTGACTGTTGTTGATTAAATTTGAAGAGCATGAGACAACCAAAAAAAAAATATATATAAATTTGAAGGGCACAAGGAGTTCTTTAACAGATAATTTCCCCTTTATTTTGAAAATTGATTACTGATTTAGTTGACGCACACTAAGTAGCATTTGCTTGAAACATTGCATGTAGTTTTCTGTAAGGCAATTCAGGTTTCATGGTCTGCAGAGGATGATAAGTTGATCCAAGAGTTGAAATGTTAACCCCATGGTTCTTCTGATCCTCTATGCGAAATCTGTACAATTACCTTATTGGAGCTTTTGTATACACTTCATACAGTTTGATTTCTTTGTTGTCCAGTCAGTTACATAGAGATAATGGTTTTTTCTCCCACATATCTCTCTTCCCCAACACACATGATGAGTGTATTTTCTGAGAATACACATGCATATGTAAGGATTTATGCCCACTTCCTAAACACAACTACTCTAAGTTGCTAATAAACGGGTTGCAATCTGAACTTGTTTGTCCTTTTTATATAAGGTGGTAGAAATTGACATGTTCCTTTTTAGTTTGGTATGCTTACATTATTCCATACTCTCAAAAGTTCATATTTTGGTTGCTACTAAAAATGCAATAACAATCTGGTAGGCATACATGAGAAAGCTGTAGCCAGATCCAGGTTTCTCATATCTATTTATCTTTTTCTTTTTTGAAGGCGAGTCGATTACTGTTCTAAGAGCCATAGTGGAAAACAATGAAGTGCTTATGTGAGAAAGACTCTAGTCTATGTTCTGCTCATTCAACATCCCCTTATGTTCTTGGATGCCAATCATGGGGCACATCTTCTGAATCTGAAGTCCAACAATCATCTATGTCCAAAAGTTTGAGCTTGAAAGTGGATGTTCTGCCACAACAATGCCACAAGAGCAAGGCACTGAGTTTTCAAATCCAAGAACAGGATTCATCTTCAACTCAATCAACTGGTCAGTCTTTTCCTGAAGTTGGTTCACTTATCAACTGGTGTTTTGTCGTTTGTTTTTGCTATTGGTGTGTATATTTCCTACTGGGAAGCTGCAGCAATACTCCGTATCGTAATAGAAAAGAAATGAAGTAATACAAGTATATGATGGTGATCCTATTGTTAAGCTTTCTCCTCACTTAGCATTTGCTATCGGATAAAAATAATATCCATCCATATAATACAATTTTTTCTTCCAAAAGTTGGAATTTCTCTTAGATGGCTTAGTAAGTATCAGAAAAATTCTTATCAAATACCCTGGCATGTTACTTCATAACCCATATTGATGATTATTTGTGCTGCTTTGGATTCTAGGTCAAATTTCTGTCCAGCATAATTCTTCTACTGGTTCAACACTTAGCGGAACTGGGGGGAAGAGTATGGGATGTCTCATTAGGTCTTCTATGGGGAGTAGGGATTTTACCTTCTCTTCTCCACTACTGGATCACAGCCAATCACTTGTAAGTAGATATATCCTTATGCTTTTGTGGATGGAAGATATATGTAGATAATTTTCCTAAAATTTATGTTTCAGGCTCATATTGCATTCCACTATGCTGATCCATGCTATAGTGGCCTACTAGCTGCTGCATATGGCCCACAGTCTAAGGTAATCAGTACTTCAGTAGAGAATATTCATATATTTTAATTACTGTTAATTTGTGTCACCTTATCTCCACCTCAGTATATTGGTATTCACTGTAAAATAAGAAGTCAAAAATAATCTTATGAGTTATGACTATTGACTGACACTTCACCTCATCAGATTATGGTTTCTTTAGAAAGTAATTTATCTATATAGATCTGATATAAGTGAGGCTAACCCTTCATAATTATTGCTCCACCTTCTTAATTCTGAGTGCATTTGGTAGGATGCTATTTTGTTCTGATTTTTGTTTATAACAGCTTTGGTGTTATTATGTAATTGATTTAGGAACAGATTAAAGGCCTTTCTGGGAAAGCATTATGTTAATATTGTATGTAGGTTCCTTTGAAATGGAATTAACTATGTTCAAACCATTTAAAAGACTTTCAAACAGATATTAGGAGTAAATGTTGCAGCGGGTAAATCCTGGTTGTACCTTTATGTGTTTCTTTAAATGGATCATTCAAGAGTTCATGCTGTGTGTTGGTGTTTAGTTTTTTTTACAGCCTTCAGAATCTTTTCAGCCAGTAATCCATATCTTAATTAATTCTTCAGATTTTTAGTGCTACCGATAATTTATCAGTGTTGCAGATACTCATCGTTAGTAAAGTTGGTCTATGATGTATATTTCCATTAAAAAATGTTTTTAGTTTTCCTTTGCATCCTTTGTTTTTTTTTTCCCCATTGCTTTTCTTATTTATTAAAATGATTATTTATGGTGGGAAAGTTGTTAATTATCTTTGACACATTGGAGATGCAATCTTTATAAGAAAGCATGGTTATTCTTGTTGGCCTTTTCCTTAGTTGATTAAAAAAGAAAGTGGGCTCTCTATAAGCTTCAATTCTTTGAATTTCTCATATGATGTGTAAGTTCTCTAAATTAGTCAATTACCTGAAAATATTACATAAAGCCATGACACTTGTAGTACTTACTTTACATGCATATAGCATCAACATGAATTCTAAAATATATGCCATCATAATTTGACCAGATTCATCATTCCCAGCTAATGGGAACTGCTCCAGTTCGAATTCCTCTGCCCTTAGATCTTACAGAAGAACCCATATATGTGAATTCAAAGCAGTACCATGCTATTCTGAGGCGTAGACAGTATCGAGCAAAACTCGAAGCACATAATAAACTCATCAAGGATCGGAAAGTGAGTGCATTTTTAATTTCCTCTCTTCTCTTAAGAGCAATCAATTTCTCTTAAAATCACACAAATAATATTGTTGTGCAGCCGTATCTTCATGAGTCCCGCCATCTACATGCATTAAAGAGAGCTAGAGGAGCCGGTGGTCGTTTTCTCAATACTAAAACTCTCCAAGAAGAAGAATCAAACCTTACTTCAGCAAACCATGGCCTAAATGTTTGCAGCATTACTCGTTTGAATCTGAGTGGAAACATGCCAGAATCCAAGGTAGAAAACTACAGAGATGGTGCTTCAATCTCAAGCTGTTCTGATATCACATTTGCATCTAATAGGGTTGAAATCTTCCAGCAACAACAGGAGTCAGACTTCAGGTTATGTGGTTTCCCTTCTCACACTGGAAGGGATATGCAAGATAAGGGTGGTGGTGCCAATCAACACGGTTTATCTGTTCTCATGTGACTGAGGGCACATCATAGTATTAGTAGTTAATTCTTCATCATTCAGATGTAGACCACTGCTTGTGTTGTGTTCCCTTGGGAAGTCATCCTTGGCTCATGTCTTACCAGGACAATGATATGGACATTTCATTTGCTACCTATTTTGTTGCCTAAATTTGTTTGGGCAATGAAACAATTAGCACAATTAGGAATCAACCTGACTTGTCAAAAACCATGTTTTTCTATGTTGATGTCATATTTGCAACATGTTTGTCTTTGTTGAAATGCAAATAAATGGCTTCAAATTGTTTGTATCTAATGTTCATGTCAAAGATCTAATGTTTGTCTTTGTTTGCAATTGTGTTAATAATTTGGCAGGGAAAGCTTTGTTTTCTTTGTGCTCCGCGATTGAATTAGCTAATTAATCGATAAATCAGTAGTGAAATAAAAAAAATATATTATTATTTGGTAGGGAAAGGTTATACTTACAACTTATTTTCTTTACAATCTCTTATAACTATATATTTTAACCGTTGATTTCCGTCAATCAACGATTATTATTTATTGTGATTTAATAATTAATTAATAAATTTAATTTGCGAAAATCTTAACCATTGATTGACGGAAATCAACAGTTAAGATATATGGTTGTAAGAGGTTGTAAAGAAAATAGGTTGTAAGTATAACTTTTTCCTATTTAGTAATAATAATTATTTTTATTTATAACTTTTTACAATTATATTTTAATCTTCACTTTTCGTTAATCAACGGTTATTATTTTTACAAATCAAATTTATAAATTAATTATTAATTCGTAATAAATGATAATCGTTGGTTCATAAACATCTAATATACCAACTATTAATTAGATGAGATTTAAAAAAATTTCCTTTCATCTTACAAAATACTACTATCAACTACGATGCGAATTTCATCTCTCTTGGCTGACAGTTACTTTTAACTTTGGTTGACTATTTTGATTTTTAATCAATACATTTATTAGAGACAACTCGGACAAGGAAAAAATTTAAATATACTTTCGAATTTGAGTATATAATTAGAAGATAATATTAAAATAAAATAAAATAAAAGTGCTGACACACGTTGGGCAGAAATCCTAACTGGTTGGGTCCCACACGATTGCATCATTGTGTTGTGGATATGTTTATAAAACAAATGAATTAAGGGGACGTTTTTGTTACAGGTCGTCGTCGTTTTGGGAGAGAAATTAAGGTATTTTTGTAATTATAATTTATTTTAGAATTATAATAGTCTTTTTTATTATAATTTTTTAACCCAAAATAACGTCGTTTTGAAAGCGAATATTATCTAGATTCACTTTATAAACATTAAATCCATAAATTAATACATTGGAAAATAAATTAAAACGAATTTGAGAAATGATGTCCGATCATCCACGTCATAATTTTAGTTACGGTGGATATGAGCGCAGAGGATCCAACATGCATATAAATTCCAAACATAAACGCATACCCTGCGCTGCTGCGTGCTGCTGCGTTGTTTTTTGTTCTCTCTCTTCTCTCTCTCTCTCTCTTTCTCTCTCTGTCTCTGTCTCTGTCTCTGTCTCTCTCAGAGAAGTGTGTGTGGGTTGTGAAATAAAATTGTGGCGTATCATGCAAGAGAGTTAGTGAGACCCTAAACGACCTCGTTTTCACTGTCTCTGAGCGTGACAAACAACAATTGCTTCTGATTTCGCGTTTGGATAATGGAGATGAGAGGTCGCTCCGTCGAAGATATTTTTCACGATTTCAAGGGCCGAAGAGCTGGCGTCATCAAAGCCCTCACCACTGGTAATGTAATGTGCTTCGCATTCCATGCATTATAAATTAATAATTACCCCTTCCTTTCTTAATTATTATTTAATTCAATTTTTCCTAACAAATTAAGAAACCAAAAATTATTTTTTTTTTTTAAATATATCATATTTCGTGTTTCTTGAGTAAATAACCAATTAGTTATACGCATCCTTTGTTTCGTGTTTCTAGATCTACGTACTTGACAAAACTTGCTCTTTTTTGAAATGTTTTCCCTTATTTAACGTTTTTGATTGTTGCAGATGTTGAAGATTTCTTCAGCCAATGTGATCCTGGTTAGTTACGCTCGAATGCTTTAACTTAATTTATTAAATTAAATAAAGTTCTGTTGAATTCACCAGTCGATGTAGCCATGAACTATAGTGCAGTGCTTGTTGCCCTTCTATGATTAAATATAGTTGCAGACTGTATTCAAGCATGTTGTGAATTTGTGATATACAATATGCACTGGGAGAATGTGTTTTCTCCTTAAGGTCAGTGATTGGTTACATAGTTGTAAAACATGTGATTGTCAAATGTTGTTATTGACTGTTGTGAATTCATTTGATTCGCCATTATGGAATGCTTGATACTTCTCAAAACCCTTTTGAGTGTGAATTTTGATTTGGGAGTAATGATGTAATGGGGTTATTCTAGCTGCAGATAAAATATAATGTGAAGGTAGAATTGCAAATTATTTTTCCATAATGAATTTTTTTTCTTTGCAGTTTTGTATGTTATTATTTATTTATTTTTCCCAGATAAGGAGAACTTGTGCTTATATGGATTGCCTGATGAGCGGTGGGAAGTAAATTTACCCGTTGAAGAAGTTCCTCCAGAGCTTCCTGAGCCTGTGCTGGGCCTTAACTTTGCTAGGGATGGCATGCAAGAAAAAGACTGGTTATCTTTAGTTGCTGTTCATAGTGATACATGGTTACTTGGCCTTGCCTTCTATTTTGGAGCCAGATTTGGGTTTGATAGAGCTGAGAGGTATATCTTACTCTGAGCATTTTTCTTTTTATCCGAAGTCAACTTGTAAAGAAGTTGGCTTAAGATGAGGTTGAAAATAAGGAAGCATTTTGGGTCATGCTTGTCTGATTTATCACATTGGTTCAGTGTTGGTCGGTGTTGGTTTTTTGTTTTTCCCCCCCTTGTTGCGTTGGAGTTTTCTTCTTGCTTGCTTAGTACTAACAATTGTTTCCACTTACTAGTTGTTTGTATCACAGCTTTTTATCCCAGTTGATTTGTAATTTTGTTTGCTTATTTGCTGAAACAGTTGCCTACCTTGATGGAGGCAAAGATGTTGAAGCATAGAATAGCATGTTTAGCATTTTCTTTCTGAGAAAAATAAATAGATAAATAAGATGAAGGGGAGAGAGAGAGAGAGAGAGAGAGAGAGAGAGAGAGAGAGAGAGAGAGGACAGACGTAGAGGAGGAAAAGTTGGACTTTTATTTTGATTATGTTGTGAATGATAGATCCCTATCAGTGGTCTGTTATTTAGCAGGCATAATCAATTTTCTTTCAGTCACCATTTAATAATCTGTGCAGTTGTTCTGGATACTTGTTAATGTTGTATATCTTTTCTTTTGCATCTGTCTACTCATGATTTGGCATTTGTAATGCAGGAAACGACTATTCAATATGATTAATGAACTACCAACAATATTTGAAGTTGTTTCTGGCACATCAAAGAAACAAGTTAAAGAAAAGTCTTCAGTTTCAAACAACAGTGGCAGCAAATCTAAGTCCGGCTCTAAAGTGGTAAATAAAATTTTTATCCGCACACCCACACAATCCAAACAAATACATTTGTTCATACATACTTGTCTCTCTGAGTTGTAGGCTGTTTATAATAGAAACCCTCTTTAGAATTATGTCCCCCAGGTAAAGGATCAATGAATGTATTTCATATGCATTAGATCTATATAACCATCTCCATGAGATAAATCTGGTAACATATTTTAAGGTATTATTAGAAGTTAAGTTTTTAATATTCTATTCAATCTATACTAAATTACTGCTATATATGCCTTAGGAGTTTAGAATTATGGTATCTCCTAGATATAACCCTTGACCTAAAATATAGTAAGCTATGGTCAGTGGGTAGTGTCTTTTTTTTTATTTCTTCTTTTGCAGTTTTAAATTCCTTTTTCTCACCAAATGATGGTAGCTCAGTTGGCGCCAGGGAACTGAGCAGGTGAGGGTGAGAGCATGTGTTCGATCCTCCCTAGTACCGTCTTTGAGAGGGGTTTAAAGCCTTAATTTCCGGACCCTCCTCGAATCGTACTAGTCGCGAAGCGATAAAACGATTTGAATATCTCAAAAAAAAAAATCCCTTTTCTCTCTTTGCTCTAAATAAAAATAAAATAAATAAGTGGATTGACATGGCTCTTGTGCAAATTAGAAGCATTAAGCTTGTGGCCGCTTAACTTTCTGTTGTCTGCCTTACCCAAGACAAGGTGTGAAAACTTGGTATTAAGTATTAACTGTAATAATCTAAACTTACAGACGCTGAACTGATTTTTTTTTTAAGAAAAAAAGAAAAAGAAAGAAAGAAAGAAGAAGAAAATGGGCAACTAGTTTAATTGGCTGCTTTCAGCAAGACCAGAATGAAACAATCCTTTAAATCAAGAACTAAAAGGGTTCTTCCTCATTCAAGACATTGTCATTTACCCAGAAAAAGTAGCCAGAGTGGGAAACAATCTGTGTTAATCTTGCATGACCTTGTTACAACTTCTCCCTTCCATCATTAACCTAAAAAAAAAAAAAAAGATGAGGTGTTTGATTTGCATTTTGGTGATAAGGAAAGAACTCCATCCTTGGCCATGCTTATTGTGTATTAGTTTTGACCTTGCTTCCACATTCAAAATTTAAAATTAAGATGAATAAATTGGTTGCACTGATTGATTCTTGTGATTGATTCTTGCAAGCACTGTACTCGTAAAATGAAATTTGGTCTGAAGTTATGGCATGCAAATGAGTATCGAACTGTTAATGAACTCCCTCTCTGTTTAGACTTGCAAGTTGCAACTGCTACCCACCATCCTGTAAGGGATGTTACAGGGATGGAGAAATAAAAAAAGGAGAGAAAAGGATCCTATCCTAATATGTTATTTCATGTTTCTTTATTGTTATTTTGAATTCAGAATGTAGAATTTGGAAATTCATTATTGATAGTGGTATCTCTATTGTTTTTAAAGTGTATGATTTAAGTCAGGCTGTAAATTGAATGTATACTGTGGGAGGTTAAGAATATCTTACTTGCTTAGGTGGTGTTATCTTGTTTGTGGTTCCCTTTCACTCGTATAGTTTTTGTTCTCATCTAATTTGTGGCTGGTGGAGCAGCGGGCTCCTGAAACACAGGGTAGACAGTCAAAGGCATTACAATCAAAAGATGAGGACGAAGGACTGGAAGAGCTAGAGGATGCTGAACATGGAGAGGCCTTTTGTGGGGCATGTGGTGAGAATAATGATGGCGCTAATGAGTTCTGGATTTGCTGTGACATCTGTGAGAAGTGGTTCCATGGCAAATGTGTGAAGATCACCCCTGCTAGGGCAGAGCATATCAAGCAATACAAGTGCCCATCATGCAGTAACAAGAGAGCACGCTAACCAAGTTTCCATCTTGGACAAACTGTTGGAGTCTTTGCTGACCTGGTTAATATGCTTTCCTTTCTAGATGCAGTTGATGGATAGTTTTTCTGTTTGACACATGCAGGTTTATTTTCTAGTCTGTAGGATTTATCAATGCTAGTCTGATAGGATTTATGCTTTGTCGGTTTTGTTGTTGCCTGCAAGTCATTTGATGCCTACTTGGGTTTATCTATGTGTAGTTGAAGCATTGTTGACTTGGTAAAGTTTAGGTCTTTTCCCGAGTCTCTGCTTTGGAACCACCTCGGCAAAGGCTTCATACAAGTGGGATTGAAACCATAATCTCCTGGCCACCATTTCCTCATGGAAATGAAAGTAGAACTGCATTTGCACCAATTGAATGGCATGACATCTTGGCGTCTTAATTTTTGTAGTCCCTTTCGAATGTTGAGTGGGAAACAATGTTTAGTAGTCTAGGGCCCAAGCCAGATTTGATGCCCAGAAAATAGGAGCCTAGAACACAGTATATGCATGTCTAACCAAAACCCAAACCGAGAGAGGTTGAGATAAACGCATGCCATTAAACAACTAGTATGAGACCGGTGAATTGGCTATAAATGAGTCGAACCGGTATTAAACTGGCATACTATTTGAACCGATTTTTAGATTTTTTTATAAAACATTCAATGAAATTGAACATGAGACTTGGTGCTGGGGACATGTAGTGACCTACTGGTTGATTTATTTACCCAGTATCCGTGACCGGGTCACAAGGAGCTTAATTAAATTGATTTTCATTGGATGCTGGGTTGGGAAATGGCAAATCTCCATGCCTCACTTTTTAGTTTTTATTTCTCATTTTGTATGTCCAAAAAAGAAAAAAAAAATTGTGTTCAACTATTGTGTTGTAAATAATACTGATCAACACATTAACAAGGATATTACACATTAATTTCCAGAGTAAGGATATTCTAACTACAAAAAATTCTTACTACTAACTTATTACCCATCACATCACTATTGGATCAAAGAGAGAGAATGTTAAAAAGTTTTCGAAGAGAGAGAAAATGTTAATCTAATGATGATTAAATAGGTAGTAAGTTGATAGTGAAACATTTTGGTAGTGAAAATATCTCTCCTCTAATTTTAATTTGTTCAAGATTCTATATGGGTACCACGACATTTGCGAAACAGGTAACATATGGCCACCATGTAATTTATATTTTCAAAATAATGATACTCTACTCCCATCTCTACCCACCCAACATGTTGGTAGTCCCCCCATTCAATTATAGCTATCCACCACAAACCAAACCCATATAGAAATAAGGCAAAATAACTTGCAAGGGAAATATTTTTACAGCAACCAATTACAACTATAGCTTATTGGTAAGATATAGTTGTAATTTTAAAAACTATTTTTTTTTTTCTCTTTTCAAAAGATTGTCGGTTGATATGGGAGAAAGAAAAAATAACTTTAATATTATAATTATATTTTAAAACAATTTTAATATTATATAATGTCTTATTGGTAAAATATAATTATAATTTTAAAAACTATTTTTTTCTCTTCTCATAAGGTGACGGACAAAGAAGAAACAATTTTAATATTACAACAATTTTAATATTACAATTATGTCTTACTGATAAGATATAATTGTGATTAGTTGCATAAGAGGAAATTTTTTGCAGAGCTGGGACCCTAAAAATAAATATCTTAAAGTTGTTCCCACTTCCCACTCATCAGCATTGATCTATTCATAGAAAAAGGTGAGTGGAAAAATACAAGATTCCCAAAAAGGGTGATAAGTGGCTGCTATACCCAACTCAGAGAATTCTTATTCGAAAGACCTCAGTGGGTTGTATGGTAGACAAGATTCAATTAGAAAGCCACAAGCTTTATACAATATTGAAATTAAAGGAATTTTGGTTTCAGGGTTTCTAAAGACCCTTGTGGGATTTAAACCACATTAGCGCATGATTATAAGGTCAGACTTCCAAATCAATATGAGGAATATGCATAATATCAATGGTGACTAAAAGAAACATAAAATATAGTTGTGTTCTAAGAAAAATTTTATTTTCAAAATATATATAAGATGACCTACAATAACTTACATTGATCAAGCAGGCATGCTGAAGCTGAAAGAAATTAAGGGCATAAATTAGACAAAAGAAAGAAAGAGAGGAGAAAACCTCTTCTCCTTTTCTTTGTTTTCTTTGTTGTTATAATTCTATCCTTTGGTCAAGTCAAAACCTCTTGATTTTTCGTGGAAAGTCGTTTTAGGAACTCATAAGTAATGATCATTGTTGTGGCAGACACTGACATTGAAGCCCATCTAGGTCCCAACCCTCTGTAACAAGCCATCCAACCACCTTCCTTAACCAAATTCCTCAGTGTCTGCATAACTGTTGGTCCACGACGCCCATTCTCATCACCATCCAAGACCTGCAATCTTGTCTTGATTGTATCCAGTGGCATGGTAATCAAAGCACACATTCCACCAGCCATTGCTGCACTGACTCCCTGAACTGCCATTACTGTTTTTGAATCTGGCCTCAATTCATTAGCTGCATTACCACTCCTCTCATCATTATCATCTTTCTTACACAAGTAGTATCCAACTCCACCCCAAAGCAGCCTTTGTGCAACAGAATATGAACCCCACCAAACTGCATTTGAAGGTGCATATGTCAAAATGGATATCCCAAAACCCCTATAGAATCCCCTAAGACCATCTGTCCTAAGAATTTTCCTAAAGGCATCAATCCCATTGATATATTGAGGTGAAGAACTAGAACCACCTTGAACCATCAACCTCTGGCTCACAACATCAACTGGGGTCCACACAAGTTGAGCTGCCATGGCTGCACTCAATCCTGCAGCTGCATTGGCAATTGTAGCAGCAGTTGGTTCAGCTAGCCCAAAACTAAGGGTAGCAGTACCTACATTACTCTTGGTAACCTCAAGTGCAGCCATATATAAGGCTCTAGCAGGGATTGTACCCATCAAAGAAGTCCCAAACCCTCTGTACAATGCTCTAAAACCCTCAACCCTGATCACTGAAAATGCACTCTTGATGCAAGAAGCTTGAGATTGAGCTACTTGCAACCGGGTTTTCAACACAACAATAGGGTACAGAGTTGCTGAAACCCCAGAGAAAAGTGCTGCACCCAGCAAGAAGAACTTTGATTTATCAAGCTTTTCCCAATCAATATCAGCTGGGACATGAACCTCTGCTCCTGATTCTTCCTCAGCCGCACCCAAGCTCATTTTAGCCACTTTCTCAAACCTAATGACACGACCCACAAATCAAAATTTGATTTTTTTTTTTTTCTTCCCCTTTTCAAATTCCTTTGCTCCTCATCATCTACAACTCTAACTGTACAAATTTGACGACGTTGCAAAAGAAAAATAAAAAATTCTAACTGTACAATTTGGGAATACAATAACATCAGTTACGAAATTTTTACAATTTGAGGAGGAATCAATGGAAGGAAGTGGAAGTGAGTGTTTCCCTCTTGTGGAACCAGATATTAATGAATCAACAGAGAGAGAGAGAGATGGGTGGGCAACCGGAATTACAGGTTGATTTCATGCTTCATTGTGGATGGAATCATGGAATAGCAAATAATGAAAAACAAGGAAATTAATAAAAAAAACAATTGGATGCCATTTCATTTTATTCATCCTAAAATACTAAAATATATATCTAAAAAGGAAAAGTACGATTTGTGAGCTGACACGTGTCGGTTAGATTAGGAGCTGATTTTGTGTGTTAAAGTTGTCAGGGTTAATGAAGTGGTAACCCTTATCCAGTATTCTTCATGAAGTTGGAATAATCAGCTGCGGTTCGTACCATGTAGCTCGTTTATTCAGCAACCCAACTATATTATTCCACGTTAATATTCCTTACTTTACTTTTTTAATCTCTCGGTGATACTGATATGGAAAAAATAACATAAAAGAAACTTTTACAGTAAAGTCTTTTTTTGTTTCTAATAAAAATTATGATTCTCATCTTCGTTCTTTATAAAAAAATAATACTCATATAAGTTCATTTTTAGGGAACTAAATTGAATTTTCATTGAATTTTTAAAAATTATATTTTCAAAGAATTGAAATTATAAAAGAATTAATTTTTTTTTTTTGTTGTATGGAACAAAAATAGAGACCATATTTTTTTTATTATGGATCAAAGCGACTTTACTCAAACTTTTATAACAAATGATCTATAAAATTGGGTGGGAGTAGGTAAATAACCAGATAGGAGAGAGAATAATATTTCCAAACAATATTCATCTCAATAAAATATTAATGTATAAAGAGTATAGAGAACTAGATAGATAAGAGAGGAGTATAAGTGTAGCATAAAATTTTATTAAGAAAAATTTAAATGAAAGAGAAAGCAATTTGCCTTCTTTTATTCGATTTTGTTTTTTTCTTGCACGGCTCTTTTTTTTTTTTTTTGGTATGCTCTTGCACGGCTCTTTAACTTTGGTGTAGTTTGGTCAAAATGTAACATAATGTGAATTTATAAATGTAACTTAATTTATGAACTTCTGTAAGCCTTTGAAATCACATCAATCCATTTTCCTGGGATAACATATTCCCAAATTACAAACTTTTTTTTTGGAGGTTCCCTTTTATCTGTTTATATGTACAACAAGAAAACTATTTATCCTATAGAATATACTATTATGATCTCACAACTGATTTATGTAATTTCAAATGAATATTCAAAAACAAATAATTTGTGGAAAAAATTTGGCAAACATAAAGTACAGAGAAAGTCGCAACAAAAGGGAAAAAATATATATATATTACCAGTTTGATCCTCAATGAATATAAGGAGAATGTACGGTCCTTTTCCTCACTTGAAAGGTCCCTAGGGAAGAAAGACAAAGGCCATAGGCATTGCATAAATGTGCATGTGGTCAAGCTACGATTACTAGGTGGTCTTCTATAAGAAGCAACATGGTTTGTGGAGGAAAATGTTGTTTTCTAGAATACAAGGTGCCCAACTAATAATGAATCTTATTGGCTTAAGATGTAGGTGGGGTTCTCATTTTGTGCTTGTGAGTAGCAGGAGTTCGAGATTCACAGGGAACATATAAATATTGTGATCCAACGATCAAAGTTAACTATATAGCCTTTGCACTACTTAGCATATGTACTTGTTACTTATATTACCTTTTAATTTCAATTCTTTACTTGTTTTTTAGGGGGTACATTATGTATCTTGTCATTAATTTGACGTTTCAACATTCAACCACAATATGTTTCCCAGTAGTTAAATAAATAAATAAACCTTCGTTTATCCAATAAATAGATAAATAAACCTTCCTATAATTTGACAACGAGTCTGTAACCTCTAGTCACATAAGTAGCTTTCATTTTCTATAATTGGACCAAAACTCGATTGCATAAAATATTTCCACGATCACATGAAAAATTGAAGAGATTATTTTCCTTGGTTTCTGTCAGAATATGAAAAGAATATTTTTGGTTGTCATGTTGAGGCAAATTAAGGTACGTTCTCCTCTTCCCTATACATGCTTTACGCGGAAATTTATTTTACTTACACATTTGTAGCTTAAGAATAGTAAAAAGTCTTCAAATGCAACAAGTGTTGGTGGACGCTGGCAACAAGAATAGTTAAGTGGGATGAGAGCATGTGTTCGATCCTCTTATTATTACTTTTGGGAGGGATTTAAAGCCTTAATCTTGGACCCGCCCCGAATCAGACTAGTCGCGAAGCGATGAACCGATTGAAATATTTAAAAAAAAAAAAAAAAATACTCAAAAGAACCAAAAAGATAACGCACAACCATTGATGTTTCAGCAGGGACACTTATTAATCCAAATGAACAGTGTTGGGGCCAGTCTTTTGAAGTGTTAAATTTTATTTATGACAAGTGAACCATGACTCGTCAAGGCTCATACTGCTTATATTCGATACAAGACACAAAAGTCACAATATAAACAGCCAAGAAAGGCACTCTTATTCTGAAAACTTTTATTACTTCTATTCACTGATGGGATTTGGATCATGATCAGAAAGAAACACAATGCTCCCAAGCCAGAGGCTATTCTATATTATTCATTATTGTTTATTTAGCCTTCCATGCGGATGACACACCTGATTGACTCCCCTTTCAGCATGTATTCAAATGATTTGTTAATCTCCGAAAATGGAACTGAGTGAGTGATGAATTTCTCCAGTTCTAGCTCCTATAATATCATCAAGTTCAAATTTTCAACATAAATAACAAAGAGGTCGACCCCACAATAGTTTCCAACAAGATCATTTGGATCTGTATATGTAAGCTTACCTTGTTCATGTACTTCTCCACAACAGATGGAAGATCAGTGAGCGGTTTGTAGTTTCCATAGAAGGTACCCTTAATGGTCCTCTCAAATAAGAAATTCGAAGGGTGAGTTTTGAAAACAGCATCATCTTTTGGCAGACCAACAAGTACAGCTACACCCCAACCCTGAGAAGATTGCAACATTAGTAATATGCTTAATAATATATAATGTTCTAGCAACATGTAAGTTCTCTGGGTTTTAAATAAGTACATCATGAACACATTCAAATGCTGCTATCGAGGCTTCGACGTTTCCAGTACATTCAAGTGCACGGTCAACTCCTCCGTTAGTCATTTCAACAATTACCTATCCACAAATTGAAAATTCTCAATCTCATATAGTTCATATGGCATTAAAGTGCAAAATTTAATGAAAATTCCAAAATAGAATAGAAATGCTCAATCTCATGAAACTAACACTATTTGTGGATATTTGGTAATTAAAAACAGGCTTTAATAGCTCTCATGTCGCGCTGCATATTGGAAAATGTGCAGTAACACTTATTTTCATCAGGATACGGTTCCGTATCCTGATGTGTTTTTTTTTTGTTTTTTTTATTCGGCTCCGTATCTTAGTGTTAAAAGTTTGCTGCAACTTTTCTCATCCGCAGCGACAGCAGAAACGACGAACCCTTAAAAACATCACTAAATATGTTTTTTTTTAACTAACCTGTTGTACAGGTTTGTCATGATCTTTTGGGTTCACAAAGTCAGTGACTCCAAAATTTTTGGCTGCCAATAAATTAAAAGCAGAAACTATCATTAGCAAGTGAATAGCACTATAGTCAGCTGCATCTGTTGAATGTTTGAAATTCTGAGTTAAAAATGAAATCATTAACCTTGTTCAAATCGGCTGGAAATTAAATCAACCCCAATGATTCTAGAAGCACCAGATATCCTAGCCCCTTCAGCAGCCTAAATATGCAGATTACAAAGAAAAGGTCGAGTTACTATTTCTTTTGTTTGTAGCAATTGGCTAAGTATTCGAAATCCACAATAAAGCAGAATAGACAGCATACAGCAAGGCCAACAGCTCCCAATCCAAATATAGCTACAGAAGAACCAGGCTTCGGTTTTGCCACGTTTACAGTAGCACCAAATCCTACAAGCATGAACAAAATTGATTTATACATATTTACAAAAAAAAAAAAAAAAAATTGATTTATACATAAAAATAGAATCACCAAACTCCTATCACTATTGTCACTAACCAACTCTCTCGTAAGGTTATAACGTAGTGTAAGGTTGTCCCCTCACACAAGCCTTTTGCACTTGAATAATGGACAATATAGAAACTCACTTATCTTGTGCGAAAAAATTCCACAATATTTATTAAAAAAATAAAGGGATCAATATAAGGTGTAAAGAATCAATTTAACCCAAATGATTAAATTGTTGTATAAGGCTACATTAATGATTTTTATATATGTAACACGCCCCCTCACACGAAAGCCTACTGGGCTTGAAGGCTGGATAATACACAGGCCTACCAACTTGTGCTAAGAAACTTCACAAGACTCAATTAATTATTAATTAAAAGGGGCGATGAGGATCAAATCTGTGATATGTAAACAACCAATCCAACCCAAAAATTTAAAATAATAGGTAAAGCTACATTAATGGTTTTTTTTTTTTTTTTTTTACATATTTCTAACATAAGAGTTGAACTCTAAACCACTAAAGAGGCTCTAATATCATGTCATGAACCAAGCATCTTAAAACAATTTTTATATTAAATATTTCTAACGACTAAGTTGACTTGAAGATGAGGATATTCCAAACCTGTGCAGAATCCGCAACTGAGAATACAAACTTTGTCAAGTGGGGCAGCAGGGTTGATCTTTGCAACACATTTAGCATGGACAACAGTGTATTCACTAAATGTAGAGGTTCCCACAAAGTGGTATATGGGCTGTCCATTTTTGGAGAATCTTGTCTTACCGTCATTGAGCATAACACCCCTAGTAACGCTGACCCTTAGCAGTTCACACATGTTGCTCTCTTCAGACTTACAATGTGGGCATTCCCCACACTCTCCAGTGAATACAGGGAGTGCATGATCTCCTGGTTTGAGATGAGTCACACCCTCTCCTATGCTCTCCACAATCCTAATCAAATAACATCACAACAATCTAATGATAGATGCATATTAATGAAGTGCTCTTGCTACATTAAACAAGTCATTGAATAAAGATGGAACCCATAATTATAACACTGAAATTATTGAAACAATGGAGGCTTAACCTTTTTTGACATATACTAATACAATAACATAACACCAAAAGAAACCTAACTTACCCTTAGAACCAACTACGCTAGACTCCAAAAGATCCACAAATCTCTAATATTCACTCAATTCATGCTCCTTTCATTACACACACTCCCCCTTCTTTTATCCTGATCTTTAATAATATTTTAGAATAATTCTCTAACTAGCTAACTAACTAATTATCTCACCACTTTTGAGCCTATCAATACTCCTCTCCAAAATTCACCTTGTTCTCAATGTGAAGAGAGAGGATAGGTAATGTGAGAAAAACTTCCACCTGGGTCCCACCTTGTTCTCAGTGCTAAAATACTGGGATTGCTCACTCCTTGAAATCTACACCTCTGACATGGACACACTATCATTTGGGACAAACACATCCTTCAAGTAGCTATTGACCTCAGGATAACCATGGACAACAACACCAACATTATTCACCAGCTTGACTATTATTTTAGCATTTGTGTATGCTACAAATGCCTTTCTTCCAAACATCAAGGTGCACATAGTTGTATCTTTTCTTTCTTCAGTAGCATTTGGGCCATTCGTTGTTACTGTATTTCATGAGCCCAGCCCACTTGTGTTTCATCTTTCACTGTGTACTAATGTGGGCTCATTTTCTGGATTATTAGAAATTGAGCCATTGAGCAAGAGATTTATTGATTCTAGCCTATGGGTCTTTCTTTTCTCTTTACCCATTATTATTTTCAGCACTCATTTCTCAATTTTTATCATTAAAAGTTTTGGGACTCGATATTTAATGGTTTGGATAAAACCCATTATTTTTTATTCCAACACCATTTCCTTTGGGCATGACCCATTCAGTCAAAAAAATGACCCAATTTCAATACTACCATGTGGCAGAAAAATTAATTTATTGTTTTTTTAATAAAAAAATTACGAAAATATAGTCGTTTTGAAATTATTTACACAAGTATAGCAGTCAAACGCGCCCCCATGGGGCGTCACCCAGTGGAGAGAGACACGCCCATGTGGGGCGTGAGACATACGAGAGACACACCCAAAAGGGGCATGAGTGGTTTGGAGAGAGATACTCCCCATTTGGGCGTGACCCACGAGAGAGACACTCCTCATTGGGGCATGTTTCACCAGGTGCTGTCACGTGTCACAGACTCACAGTTTGACCCTAAAACTTTATAAGTCTATAACTTTTGACTCGGGTGTTCGAATTAGGTAAAAAATATTTTTGATTCCACATAACTTTTCGACATCTACGTAATGACACCTCATTTGGCATATTTTGTCTCTCACAAAAAAATTTGAATTTACAACAATGATACCATAAGAAGTTTAAACCCAAATTAATAAGAACGTTTAAAAAATAGGAGAAGGTTATAGTTACTATATATATATATATATATTAATTTGGGTTTTAACCTTCTCCTTTCTCCTAATTAAAAAGTGGTTTTCTCTTTATTAATTTGGGTTTAAACGTTCTTATGGTATCATTGTTGTAAATTCAAGTTTTTTTGTGACAGACAAAATATGCCAAATGAGGTGTCATTACGTAGATCTCAAAAATTTATGTGGAATCAAAAAAAATTACCTAATTCGGACACCCGAGTCAAAAGTTATGGACTTTCAAAGTTTTACGGTCAAACTATTGACTTTTGTGCCACGTGGCAGCACCTGGTGAAACACGCCCCAATGGGGAGTGTCTCTCTTCTCGGTCACGCCCAAATGGAGAGTGTCTCTCTCCAACCAGTCACGCCCATCTGGGGCGTGTTTGAGTGCTATATTTGCGTAAATAATTTCAAAATGACTACATATTCGTAAATTTTTCATTAAAAAAGCAATAAATTAATTTTTTTTTTTTTGTAAATAAAGAGGGGCTAAGCCCTAAATTAATTTTTTTTGCCCTACCTTTCTCCCTCACACTCTGTTTAGTGTTTTCCACATCATTTTTTCCTTCTTCTTTTTTTACTTCTTCATCTGCTACTTCTTCTTCATCTCTTTCGGCTTCTTCTGTGTCGTCTTCTTCTTGTTTGATTTTGGTTCTGCTACTTTTCTTCCACTTCTACTATTTCTATTTTTTTTCTTCTTCTGCGTCTTCTTTCTTTCGTTTGATTTTGGTTCTTCATCACATTCTCCTTTGTCCTTTTCTTTTTCTTCTTTTGCTTCTGCTGCTGCTTCTTCTTCTTTAACCTCTGTTCTTTCTTCTTTGTGTGCTTATTCGTCTTCTTCTATGTCCTTTGTGTGCCTTTCTTTCTCTTGTTCTTTTTTTTTTTGTTTATTTGATTCTCGGTGTAGCGAACATGTGAAGATATATTTGTCCCTTGATTTTCTCTCTCAAAGCCTTGAGCTCTACTCTCCTCTTTATCTCCTCTTCACGTGTGTTAGATCCATTTCTTTATGAATCTACACGGTCTAAGAACTTCGATATGGTTTCTCGAAGCTGGCGAAAGGAATTCTTAACTACTCTCATCATTTCTTCCAATAGCTCAGTGCGCATCTCGACTTTCTTCAATATGTTTCAATTTTTTTTTTGTAAGGACCAAAAGCACCTCTAGGATCGAAGATGCTCTGATACCAAATTGATGGAACCCAAAATTATAACACTAAAATTATTGAAACAATGGAGGCATACTCTCCTTTTATAAACACTAAAACAAGAACGTAACACCCAAAGAACCCAACTCACCTTTAGGGGCCATTTGGTAAGAGGATAAATTTTTTATTATCAGAAAACTCACATTTGGAATCCTATTTACTAGGGTTGGCAAAACGGGCCAACCCGGCCCGACCGACCCAACTCGCATTCAAGCCGAAAAAAATGAGTCGAGTTAGGAATAGATCGGAAAAAAAACAAGCCAGAAAATCCAACCCAATCTGACCCGAGTCGGGTTAAGGTTGGCTCGCGGGTTGGCTCAAAAATATGGCTCGTGGATTGGCTCGAAAAAATAGCTCGCGGGTTGGCTCGAAAATTGCTCGCGGGTTGGCTCCTTTTCAACCTATTTAAATGACCCTGTAGTATTAATGCATCAGCTATGTGGCTTCCATCAGTTTAAACAAAGGGTTACAAAATGAGAAATAAAAGCAAAATATTTTATTTTCGAATTTTCTTACAAATTTGCATCAACATCAAGAAACAATCAGAACCACTTCCTACCAAGTGGGTAAGATATTTGAACCAGACAGAATATAAAAATGGCAGGATGTGAGAAGATTAGGGACTTAGGTTTAGATAAGGAAGAAAAATGATGACAACATGTGTGGGTTTTGTCCATTTTTGTATATTATATTTTGTATTTTTATATAAAAAAAAACTCAATCCTCGAGCTGGCTCGTTTGACCCGCGGGTTGGCTCGTTTTTTCACGAGCTGGCTCGGGTCGGGTTGGCAGCTCATTTTTGCCAACCCAACCTGGCTCATTTTTGGCGGATTACGAGCTAACCCGATGGGTTGTCTCGTTTTTGCCAACCCTACTATTTACCCACGTGTGATATAAGGGTTGTGAAAATTTTCCTGAAAAAAACAAATTCCCAACAAAGAATACCACCTACGCGGTGGGAAATTTTTTCATGTATAAAATAACATGCTTTAAAACTAAAATACCCTATCTTCATTCCCATCTATGTGTCTTGCAACTTCAGCACCGTCAATAGTTTTCCGGCGATTAGCCATGCGCGTTCACTCATTGCCTCCGCAGTGCAAATCGTCTCCACTGAGTACCCATTCTGGAACCGAAGCAGAGGATCCGACCACGTCTTTGACGCTTCCCACGATTTTGGCACATGTTTCCACACCCTCGTACATAACCAAACATTGTTCAAAATTCGGGTTTCATTAAAAGTGTTCCTTCTTTTTAATGGCTTTGTTTTTTTGCATTTGTGAAGGAGGACGTGGCAATAGCTGAGGGGATACCAGAAATATTGAAAAACTCGATCGTGTTGCAGACGTTCGGCGTTGTGCACAAGCATCCATGCTAGGACGTTGAGAATGTGGTTATACTACCGTACATTTTACCAGAAAGTATGGCGGATGCTGGAAAGCTCCGGTGAACGGACAGCGAGACATTTGGGTGTTCTTCCATGTCAAAATGGAGGTTCATCCTAAATATTATTTTTGTAAAATCAGCCCACATTCCTAATAATTATTGACAATCAACCAAATATAGAATCAGGAAACTTGATCCAACCTTCCTGGTTTTTTGGTAATATCCTTGGAAAATTCACTTTCTCAGCATATTCCTAGAAATCACGATTCCCAAGAACAAAAAAATTTCTCATAACCAAACGCCCCTTAGAACCAACTACCCCAGGCTCCAACAGATCCCCAATATTCACTCAATTCATGCTCCCTTCATTACACACACTCCTCGTCCTTTAAGAATAGTTTAGAACAATTCTCTGACTAACTAATTATCTCACCACTTTTGGGCCCATAAAATAGTGTAAGTTTGTTTTTTCAATAAAAAATAAGGGATATTCTTATTCATATATATTTTTTTGTATCATTTTAACAAACACATTGATACTAGCAAAAAAATATAATTTAATCAAGTCAAAAAAACAAAAGGACGTTAGAAAAATAAAATATTTGAACACAGGAAACCAGATGAGTACTCAAGTCAAGAAGAAAAGAAACATTAGACAAAGAAATTTTAATGATTTTTAACGAAAATCTTCACAAAAGAAACATACCCTGCAGCTTCGTGACCAAGTATACGGGGAAAAATCGAAGTATGGCCCTGAAAAGAAAATAATCTCAGGTTGGATGCAGAGAGCACTGATAATGCAAAATAATATCAAGCAAATTCTCAAGAAAAAAGAGGATATTCTTCATGCTTCAAAATCAACTTCTTTTAATAAGTAGCCATTTGAAATTTTTAAACCTTTGATTCTCAAAATTATATTTTCTTCAAAAACATAAAAAAATAGTTTGAAACATGTCGCTAACAAACAATTTTCCTATTTTTTTTTTATATTTTTAAGTTAATTCGACCCAAAACTTTAAAAGTATTGAATTTTTAAAGGTCCTCCCACTTATAATGATTTTACATAATCCATTATCCATATGGGATATTTAAGACCCAATAATTACCAAATGATAACATGAGATGTGAGAATTCGAGAAGAAATATTTTAGAGATGCATATGAAGTAAATGAATGACCTTGCAGTCCCAGTAGTTAACATCAGAACGACAAAGGGAGGTGTAGAGGATCTTCAAACGAACTTCACCAGCCTGTGGTGGAGCTACCTCTATTTCTTCAATCACTAGTGGCTTGCATGCTTCCCACGCCACCGCAGCTATATTTCATGTGCATCAGCTAATAACACAGTCAGAAACACAATCCATGTGTCTCACTACAAAATTTTACACTAAATTTTAATAGTTAATTTTTATTAATTTAATAATTATAATTTATTTAGAATTATTATCGTTAATTTTTATTAATTTAATAATTATAATTTATTTAGAATTAATAATAAATAACAATCGACTAAAATTAATAATTAAAATTTGATATGAAACTTTTTAACTTGATATCAGTGTCAAAGTATCTTGCTATATATATACTCAAAAGAAAAAACGGTAATCATATATTATATCAGAGTACTATCTAGTAATTGAAGAAGGTAAAATCAAAGTGAGTAAAAGAATTATCAAAACCATGAGATTAATAATGAACAGACATGGATGCATGCATGGCTAGCTAACCTTTGCACTTGATGACCTGACCAGCTTTGCTAGACATGGCTCCTAATTAAGAAGGATATGAAATATGATGATGAATCAGATGGTGGGTGTGTTTGAACTTGAAGAAGCTAAGGGCTATAAATATTTGAAGTACGAGAACAGCTCTTTGTTTCCAAGTTCCTCCTTTACTATCTTAGCGGTGTAAGTAGGGCCTACAGGTGATTTGTTCTGTTCTTTTTTTCTCGTGATCATATGAGACAAAAAGTTAGATACGGAAAATTCAAAGTACTTAATGACTTTTACTTATATGAAAAAAGAATTTAATATTTTTTAAATTATAGAAGATAAAATTAATTTTTATGCATGCATAAAAATTAACGATAAATGTTATACTTACAATTTATTTTCATTTATAACTTTTTACAATTATATTTTAACTGTTAGTTTTCATCAATCAACGGTTATCATTTATTACGAATTAATAATTAATTAATGAGTTCGATTTGTGAAAATATAATATATGGATGTAAGATGTTGTAAATATAATTTTTCTCTAAAAATATATAAGATTAATATTTTTTTTTCTCTTCACATAAATTCATATGAATCTTATAAATTTTTATATGTGTAGAAAATAATTTTATCTTCTAGATTAATTACTGCAAATTACATGTTTCAATTACAAAGTGACAACAAATCACTCAAAAGAGAGTATAAGTAGTAAAATGAGTTTAGAAGTTTTCTGACGGTGTCGTGAATTCTTGGTAAGACAAGAATTGGAGAAGGCTATTTAAGTAACACGCTCATTTTTGTTAGTGGGGTCGCGAGTGAGAGAAGCAGACAGATATTATATAAGAAGATAGGTATGAATGTGGATCCTAATGGCCGGGGAAAGGATAAGTATAAGAAAAATTCATAGGAAATATATGCCTGAATGAACTGGAGAGGTTCATTTTGTTTTCTTTTGCTAAAAGAAGATTACGGTTTGGTTTGTTTTTATTTTCTGTTTTGATTTTTAATTTTTAAAAAAGAAAGCATGGAAAACAATTTTTTTGTAATTATTTTATAAATTAGTTTTAAGAACAAAATATTTATGCCTTCAGCTTCTTCTTTTTTTGGAAAAATGTTTTATTTTTTTAGAATTAGCATATTTTTTATGGGGTTTGATTTTCTCATGTTGAACGAGAATTCAATTCTCATGTTGTAGAGATAAAAAGCGTGTGGGACCCATGTGTTAGAAAAAATTATATGTAGGACCCATGTCAGCACGGAAATCGAAGGGTATGTAGGAAAATTTGAATTCTCATGTTGAATGAGAATTATAAAACCCATTTTTTATTCTGTTTCTAAAATTTATAAAGGATATGGTACTTAAAAAGATAATTAGTAGGTTTCTGGTCTCACCATCAATAAATTTTATTATATTATTTTTAACAATTATAACATACCAGTATATAAAATTAAAAATAAAATTAAAGTTGTTCTATTTTCTATTCATGTCAAACAAAAAGTAAGAATGATTATTTCAATTTGTTTCTATTCCCAGTGTCATTTCTATCTCATTTCCATTCTATAAAAAATCATTCCGTAAAACTAATTAATATGACATAAAATGTATATGGAGTGAAACCCCTATAAAGCAAAATTTGAAACTAATCTCTTACCAAAAAAATCAACAACGACAATAGTGAAAGAAAATGACTGATAGCAACATAGCAATGGCTTATGGGACAAATTAGTCCCCTCGTTGTCCACACTTGGCTGATATTTTCTCATATACTTTTAAAATATTTCTCTTGCCAACTTGTCCACTTTTAATTCAGATATGTATTTGTTATGAGCTATATGGGAGGCCCATATTTTAGAGCGCGCAATAAAAGAAAATTGAAAGAGAAAGTTAAGGCAAATAAAGGAAAGAATCTTCAATTTTTGCTAATCCTAATGCAACTGTTATGGACTTGATGTTAGGACCCAGAAAAATTATTAAAAAGTACAAAATTCCATTACTCACATATAATATCTTATAAATAAGAGATAAAGTCTATAAGTATATTATTTTTAAGGAAAAATTGTTTGTCATTTTAAATGACACAACTTATATCTTTTCACTCTCACAAATAGGTGGAACCCACAGCTTTATATTTTTCTGTCTACTCTCTCTCCTCCTTTATTTATCTCTTTCTCTCACTTAAAATGACACAACTTTATATCCTTTTAAATGATACACAGTTTTTCCTATTTTTAATTCTCTCTCATATTATTATATGGGAGAGATTATACTTACTACCTATTTTTCTTACTACATTTTAGTACTAAAATCTTAACCGTTGATTTTCGTCAATTTAACGGTTATAATTTATTGGGTTATATTTATTAATTAATTATTAATTTTCAATAAATTATAACTATTAGATTGGTGAAAATTAATGATTAAAATTTGATAATAAGAAGTAGTAAGAAAAAAATATAGTAACTATAATCTTCTCCTTATTATATTCTTATTGTACACATACACCACTTATATTCTTAATGCATTTAGTGATCATCTAACGTCAAATATATCTCTTTCATAGATATTTAAAAGAAATCTTAAATCCAAGATAAATTCAGTAATACTATACATTTCTATCCTAACGAAACATTTCTATCCTAACGAAAGAAAATATTATTTTAAAAAATGACACAAAGTTTAGTAAGACTTTCTCCGTCTTTGAAAACAACACTCGGAAATCAGGGAAACAAAATTTGGCAGCTAGCAACTTTCATTTTCTACATAAATTATATGTCTAATTACAAGAAGCTGTAAAAAAAAAAAAAAAAAGTGTTATAGACCTGACAAATGCCTACATTTTAGAAGGTCCAAATAGGGCTAACAGCTAAGAGGGAATTAAGGAATATTTCCTTAATGAAGACGGGTTTGGAGAGAGGTGATCCTAGAAATAGGATCACACCCCAATCCGCGATGAAATGAAGACGAATTTGGAGAGACGGGATCCTGGGAAAAATGATCATACTCCAACCCGCGATAATATGAAGACGAGTTTGGAGAGAAGGGGTCCTGGAAAAAAGGATCACACCCCAAACCGCGATAAAATGAAGACGGGTTTAGAGAGATGTGATCCTAGAAATAGGATCACACCACAATCCGCGATGAAATGAAGACGGATTTGGAGAGACGAGATCATGGGAAAAAGGATCACGCCCCAATCCGCGATAAAATGAAGACGGGTTTGGAGGAATGTGATCCTATAAAAAGGATCTATGATAAAAATCTGGGGTAAAGAATGAAGACAGGTTTGGAGAGAGGGGATCCTAGAAAAATGATCACACCCCAATCTGAAATGGCTCACAAGTCAAAACGACTAAACAAGACAAAGTCAAAAAATGACACCTACGTCAAATATTATAAAGCCAAGGTATTGGAAACCTACGTCTAGCAACGTGCAAGAACCTGGATAAAAAACGGGTTAAAAATAAAAAGCACATTGCAGGATTGTGGCTTCTAGCCGAGACATAGGAAAACAGAAGGACACTTCTGAATCCTAAATGTTGTCAAAATAAACAACATGTGTACAAGGTGTGATAAATGAAATCAGGCTTGGAAAATAAGGGGCAGATTGGTACGACCTTGATCAAGTCACCATGATGCCTCAAATTTGAAAACCTAATTAAGAAAATTGGGTTAAAAGAAAAAAGTGGAATCCGCATGAAAAACTTTAGCTAAGTCATTTTGTTCAGTTAACGCTGAAAAGCTAAATCTGAATCAATAAAGCCACAATGCAAGAAGTTGGGCTCAAAGCGAAAGCCTCTGAAGGAATAACTACGGGCTCGATGTTAAAAGGAGGCAAACACTGCCTCACCAAAGCACCACCTCAGCCAAAAAAAAAAGTTGAGGGAGAAATACAGAAACAACATATTCAATACTCGGTTCACTAAAACCGGCTGAATGAATGACAGAGATAATAACTGCAATTGCTGACGCAATTAAGTCGGCCAAGGAAAGTTCCAACCTAAAGAAAAGTGCTTCAATGAATATGCCAAGTCAAAGCAAGAATTCGACTGCTAACTTGAAATTCAAATGCAGAGATTACTGGTATTACATGCAAGTATACCACAACTCTTATCCGGGTTATACGAATGATGCTTGGGGGCAACTCGCAGTTGGATCCCAATTGCTCAAGCACATTCGTTACCCAAGTACACATGCAGAATATCTTGTCGGGTTCATGTATAACCCGCCCACATAGTTAACAATGGAAAATCCTTCCCGGTTCCAGAAGAAAGCTACAAGCTCAGGACGTGTGCGTATGGAATGATGCTTGGGGGCAACTCGCCAGTTGGATCCCAACCACTCAAGCTCATCCCAAACTCGGTATAGAAATACATGAAATGTTTTCCATGGTTTATGATCAACCCACCGATATAAGGGGCAATGAGGACGTGAAATGTTTTCCATGGTTTATGATCAACCCACCGAGATAAGGGGCAATAAGGATCCCGGTTTAAAAGCCTGAGAGGTAAGGAACATATATGTAAAAATTTTACAACAACTCAAATGCTCTCAGCTCAGTAGAAAACATGAAGCAAAAGGCAAGACAATTCACCCCGGCAGCCTGGATAACCAAACTACCGGGCTGGGGGGCAACTGTTATGGATCTAACAAATGCCTACATTCTAGAAGGCTTAAATAGGGCTAACAGCTAAGAGAGAATTAAGAAAATATTTCTTAATTATGCTAATCTTACTACGACAGCAATGGATCAACAATTGGACCCCAAATGCTCCTGAGAGGCCCAAAAGTCCACTCCTGCCAGGTAACCCATCTATAAATAAGGGGTTAAACCAATAAGGTACACACACTCTAAATTCTCTCTCTTAGCTTGTCACTGTGCACACACCCCACGTCTTGACTATGTCGTTATATTATAGTGCACAATGATCCCGCTTATCTTTAGGGTACCTCTCCTATAGGTACCTGAGAGAGGGCAAACAGATCCTATATTAACATACCAATCTCTGATTGGACAGATCGATCTATCAGATCGTAACAGAAGGAGAAATTATATCTATAATAAAATTGCTGATATTTTTATTTTCATTTATTTGATATCATTTATTTTATTCTGAAATGTTAAGTTCTTGTAAAATTTTATAATCAAATGATGG